AACCTGGCCGAGGGCCACAGGCCCTCGGGCCCTTTGGGCTTAAGCCCGCCTCCTGGTTCAAACCCTAGGCCCAGGCTGGCTAGCCTCACTCCAGGGACAGGGCAAACCTGCACGTCAAACACATTCCCGGAAAAGCAGTCCACTCCAAAAGCTTGCCACAATTCCTTCACTCCCACCACTATGCTCCTGCCTTCTGGCAAGGAGAGCTTCCCATGAGCCTGTGAAGGCACCAGCCAAACCAGGAACAACATGGCCGCTTCCTTCCCAGCTTCCTTCGGCTTAAGGCCGCCTCCTGGTTCAAACCCTAGGCCCAGGCTGGCTAGCCTTAATCCAGGGACAGAGCAAACCTGCACGTCAAACACATTCCCAGAAAAGCAGTCCACTCCAAAAGCTTGCCACGATTCCTGCACTCCCACCACCATGCTCCTGCCTTCTGGCAAGGAGAGCTTCCCACGAGCCTGTCATCTATAAGGAAGGTAAGCAAAGGAAAATCACAAGGGAGTAGAAAACAAAAACAAGAGATCATGGGAAAGTCTTTTGCAGATAAGGCCAAATTCCTCTCTGTTGTTTATGCTTATCACAGGGAGGGATTCAGTAAATACAAACTAAGAACAATGTTGATTCTTAGGGAATGCCTTAGTTCCACAGGGTGAATTAGAGCTTGTATTAAGCCTCCCTCATATCTTGATATAGCATTTGGTTTATTAACACGTTGCTGCTCACTTTTTAAATTGACAACCATGCTTGGAAACACATTTGCCATCATTTGCAGCAATGTATTAATATTAAATTTTATGTTTGGCTTCCCAATTTTCCCCTCTTTTGTTTAAATCATAATTTTGTGGTCATCAAGACGAGCATGATTTCTTTTCTTCAAGATTCATTCTTGATTGTTTTTATCTTGCAATAACATGTTACAGATCGAGGGTAAAGTATTTTTAGAATTATTAATAATCAGACAGACAACCAAGAATGAGATAGAACAGAGAGCATGAAAAACAGGGGACCAGCAGTTCTCCACCTAAGACCCCCATCCCAGCTTCCCTGCATCTTTATTGAAAATTATTAGGAAGTAAATCACAAAGAGAATTCAATGCAAATGAAGCCAAGCTCTTTCTATTGAAAACCATCCTCCTGACTCAGGAAGGAGTGGTCAGCAAATACAGTGCAAGAGGATTGCTTTGATGTCTCAGGGTGAATGCCAGCTTCAAGTGCACCTCTCCTACATCCTGAAAGAGCATTCAGTTTATTACAAATATTTAATATTCGCTTCCCATATTTCCTCCCTTTTGTTTTTATCATAATTTTGTTATAATTTAGAAAAGCACTGCTGCGTCTCTTCTTTGATTCATTCTTGTTTATTTTTATTTTCTCTATCCTTTATGCCAACTGGCATAAAGAGAATCTTTGATTCTTACCACTGGACCAATTGGCAGCATCAGGATGGATGGTGAAGAGATTGAGATTGAGATTGCGCACAGCTTTAGTTTGCTTGGCTCCACAGTCAACACTCTCGGCACCAGTAGCCAGGAAATTAAAAGACGTATTGTGATGGGAAAGTCTGCTGTTAGGGACCTCTCCAGGGTACTGAAGAGCAATGGTGTCACTCTGGAGACTAAGGTGCGTCTGATACAGGCCATGGTATTTGCTATCACTTGTTATGCATCAGAGGGTTGGACAAGAGAGTTGACTAAGGAGGATAGAAGAATTGATGCCTTTGAGCTGTGGTGCTGGAGAAGAGTATTGAATGTACCATGGACTGCTAAGAAAACAAACAGATTCATCCCAGAAAGGGTTAAACCAGGCGGCTTCCTGGAGGCAAGATTCTGAGGCTCCATCTAACATACTTTGGACATGTTGTAAGGAGGGACAGGTCCTTGGAGAGGGACAT